ATTTAGTGTAACTTTTGAGGGAAATTAAATTATGAATAAAATAAAAGAAGCCTGGAATAAATTATTATTTCAACACCGATAACTTGGAATTAAATTAGTTGGTTGTGGTGTGTGATAATAAATAGGTCTAAGTAGAACTTATTTTAAGGACAAGTGCTCATAATTTATACGAACTGAACAACTAAAGCCACATTCTCCTCTCCTTTGTCTGCCACTTGGTCGTTGTCTGTGTAGCAATTCTCCATGTGGCAATCTCTGCTGACTCACCATGCCACATCATTTATAGACAACCACGTGGACACAAATAGAAATTGACACATGGCATACTCCACATGTAGTAATGTTAAAGGTGCCGCCAATGAGTGCAATTCATGATTGATGTAAAAGCATAGCAACAAAATTCTTTCAATTATACTACTTGTACCATATTTTCGTCTAATATGTGGGCGAATTTGGGAATATGGTTAAATGTTAATTTTTAGTTTTTAACCTATTTTGTATCATATCATCTTTCTATTTTTTTATACTTTTTTTTTCCAAAAGAGGAAAAAAATTAGCTTTTAACCAACTTTCTAAAACAACCATTTGTCTATTATCTGGGCTGTCTTGAAAAATTAGTTTAAAATTGACTTTTTAATTTTTTTTGACTTTTTTTTTTTAAAAAAAATGTATAAAAAAGTAGAAAGATGATATAACTCAAAATAAGTTAAAAATCAAAAATGGACTTTTAACCATGTTCCCAAATTGGTCCCTAATATGTATTCACAATTATTAATATAATGAGTCCATTTATATTTTGAAGTTGCAAAATTTTTTTTTAGAGTTCCAAAGTTCCTTGATCCAACAGGCACTGATTCCCACCTACCAAGTTTAGAAGCTGGTTATTTATTGATGAGCAATATGGTCAATTCATTCACCTCTAAACCATATGATATATAGATAATTATTTAGTAATTTCAAAATATCATATTATATTATTTAAATATTATTTTAAATTAATTTTGTAGTGAAAAATTTACGAAGGGAATGACTCACTTAGTATGCATTACGGTTTCTTATTTACCTAAAATATCTCGTAAATAATGTTACATGATATTCTAAAAATATTTATCAATTTTTATAAGTTATTATTATTATGTTTTTTTAGATAGGATATAAATTATTATTATTATTATTATAAAGAATACGAAAATAACGACTTGGTCCATCATTAACTTATTGTTATGGATTTGAGTGTCGAAAAATAATAAATTAGGATTAAAATTACAAATATCTTATCCTTCGTAGACTGCTCTTTAACTGGAGGCTAATCACTTTTACTAATCTCTTGACATATGCAAACATGAAAGTTTTTCAAATTGTTTGACTTAGATAATTGTAAGCAAAGAATAATTTTAAGCAAAATTTTCGAAATTATTTGACTTTGATAATTGTAGGCAGAGAATAATTGTAATATTAAAAAAAAAAAAAAGAGTTACATAATTTCATTGTGTCAATTGGAATGTGTTTCATAATATAATAATGTATATATTATCATTTCATCTCATATTTTAGTTTGCAATAGTACCATAAAATGAAAAGAAAAAATGTTTTGGGTTAATAAATATTCATATTTAAGAGGAGTTTGATGAAAAATTTTACGACAGTTCTCCTCCTTTATGTATGTCAATTTTATACTTTTTTTTCACCAACTTCAAATAGAAAATCCAATTACCTTTATGTTATACTTTGTTAAAAATTAATCCAATTTTTTTAACAATTGCATTGACCTATGTTTCATTTGGAAAACAAAAACAGACATTATTAATCAAGTTAAGTTCAATATAGATTGCAAGTAAAATGAGTTGTTTTACATTAGATTATTTGTGTCAAAAGCACTTTGCTTATTCGTTTATTTTCAAAATTTTAAATTTGGTAATGGGGTGGTTATAGTGATCAAATGGAATCCTTTGGGAAATTTAGTGTAACTTTTGAGGGAAATTAAATTATGAATAAAATAAAAGAAGCCTGGAATAAATTATTATTTCAACACCAACAACTTGGAATTAAATTAGTTGGTTGTGGTGTGTGATAATAAATAGGTCTAAGTAGAGCTTATTTTAAGGACAAGTGCTCATAATTTATACGAACTCAACAACTAAGGCCACATTCTCCTCTCCTTTGTCTGCCACTTGGTCGTTGTCTGTGCAACAATTCTCCATGTGACAATCTCTGCTGACTCACCATGCCACATCATTTATAGACAACCACGTGGACACAAATAGAAATTGACACATGGCATACTCCACATGTAGTAATGTTAAAGGTGCCGCCAATGAGTACAATTCATGATTGATGTAAAAGCATAGCAACAAAATTCTTTCAATTATACTACTTGTACCATATTTTCTTCTAATATGTGGGCGAATTTGGGAATATGGTTAAATGTTAATTTTTAGTTTTTAATCTATTTTGTATCATATCATCTTTCTATTTTTTTATACGTTTTTTTTCCAAAAGAGGAAAAAAATTAGCTTTTAACCAACTTTCTAAAACAACCATTTGTCTATTATCTGGGCTGTCTTGAAAAATTGGTTTAAAATTGACTTTTTAATTTTTTTTGACTTTTTTTTTTTAAAAAAAAAATGTATAAAAAAGTAGAAAGATGATATAACTCAAAATAAGTTAAAAATCAAAAATGGACTTTTAACCATGTTCCCAAATTGGCCCCTAATATGTATTCACAATTATTAATATAATGAGTCCATTTATATTTAATAAATGAATGTATCGCAAAATAAAACGCGATTATTTAAAATATATATAAGCCTACATTGTTGAAAATTTTAAATATATTATATTTATATGTGTGGCTTGTTTTTTATTTTTATTTTAGATAGGGTATGTATGGCTTCTGTATATGAAAAGATTTTTTTTTATAGCTGAAGTGTATATGAAGAGATAGAATTAGGTAATTCCAAGATTTTAGAATATGGTCATGGAATGATTTATTTGTCAAGAGGAAAAGGAATTTTTATTTATTTATTTATGTATTTATTTATTTATTGTTTTTCAATAGACAACATAAAATAAGAAAGGATCTTTGATTGACATAGTCGTAAAATCGGTTATAAATCTTTTTCTTTGTTTTTTTTTAAATGACAGACAATTTTTCAAATTAAAATCTTAGATACTGTTTTTTCTAAAAACACTTGGTAGCTATAATTCTCTGAATCATCACTACACTAGTATCAGCTAGACTTCTACCTCAATCATGACAACCATATTGAACGTAATCATATTACATACATAACAAAATAAATAAATAGATTAATTTTTTTTTTCTAGAAGAGTAATCTTCTTCTGTGTATTATATACACCTTAATAGCTCATAAGTTCAATTTTGGTGATTCAAATGGTTCATTTTATATATAGTTTATCGAACAAATCATTTATGTAAAAAAAATCAAATTTATCATAATTAATTAACTAAATCACATTTATCTAAAACAAAATGAACGATATATTCTCAAAATCATACTACTAGAAAGTTCCACTCCTGTTTTCTTACTATTAAATACAAAAGTAGCAGTGACAGAAAATTTTAGTAAGCTAAGAAATCCATTTATGTATAGCATTTTTTTCGTAAGCTAGGATTCAAATTCAACACCCCAATCCATCCTTTCTTTCTCTCTTTAGAAAGAGTGAATCCACGAAGATTTTTTCTGTTTTTGGCTATGATTGATCCATATAGGTTTTGATTACCATAAATAAGTAGTAAACAAACTAGATGAGTTGTTTTCCTCTTACCCACCTCCTCTTCTCTCTCGTCTTATACACACACATGCAATCATAGGAAAGGCACACATAGTTCATTGCTCAGTGAAGTTGAAGGAAATCCCCACTCTATTCTTCATGACTGAAAATGGATGAAAATTGGGATTTGTGGGCTGTGGTGAGAAGTTGTTACACTCCTGCCACCACATCCGCTTCTGCCACCGCTACCAAGTATGTTACCCCACCAGAATACCCCATACCTGTCTCAGTTTTTATGGTTTTTGAACAGAACAATTGTAACACTTTCGGGAGAAGAAACAATGGTTTTGAGGAACTAGATCAAGTTTACAGAACTTCCTTTGCACACTCACAACCTATCATCAACCCTCTTCTTGGTGGATTGAATCACCTAAAACAACCACAACCCATCAATCCTAATGGCAATCCCACACCCTTTGGTTCTGTTCTTAGTGGATTCAATCACCAAAAACAAGAACCACCACCACCACATCCCCAACCCATGAACCCTAATATCATCCACACCACACCCTCCAGTTCTGTTTTTGGCAATTCTAGTAAACTAAAAACACACTCCCTGACGAACCCTAATATCATTGATCCAGAAGAAGAGCAAAAACCACAACCCATCAACCCTAATATCATGGACAAAGAAAACGAAGCAGAACAAAACCCACAACTCATCAACACTAGTACAGTTCTTCTACTTGCACAAAAAGCACTAGGCATAACCATCTCGCATGGGTGTGAGATACACAAAAATGCTAAATTCACCTCATGTGAGAGAGTTGTATATAATACTATGATTGGTAATATGACCACCGAGCCCTCTATTTTTGTTCTTGGTGAGTCCAGTAACCAACCACCACCACCACCACCACCACCACCAACACCAACAAAGAAACAGCACTATCGGAAACATCCACAACCACCACCAGCAAAACCAAATATACTACCAGAGCAATATGGGTATCAGTATCAGAGGAAGAGAAGTCAGAGGACAGCAGTAGTGAAGGTGGATGCTGAAAAGCTCCCAGAGGTGGATCCATGGAACTGGCGTAAATACGGAAGAAAGCCCATCAAGGCATCGCCATACCCGCAAAACTACTACAAGTGTAGTAGTGAAGGAAACAAGTGCGAAGCAAAGAAATATGTGGAGAAGAGTCTTGAAGATCCAGAGAAATTCATGGTGTCCTACAGTGGCAAGCATCACCATTCTACTCCACGCCGCCGCAATACTCTCTCCTGCACTACACGATTTAAATCATCCACCACCACCAAGAAAGCTTCATGTTCGAACGAGGATGCAGTGCATGACAATATTACGATAGAGGTAGAAGATGATGATGACAAAGAGGACATATTGAATTGCGAAAATGTTTTCATGGGTCTTCAAGATTTGGTTGGAGGCTTCTGAATGACAGGGAAGGTTGACATAGGTTGATTTCCCAAGCTTACTTTTTTAGTAACTAAATTTTCTTCATTCTTTTTTTTTTTTGGGTTCGATGTCGAGTTGAATTTTTTTCAGTTCAAGGACTCGTTTGAGATTATTTCATAAATCATAATAGAAGTTGGTAGTTTTTGATTAACTGGAGAATGGAAAAGAATAATCATTTAGTCTCACTAAGTTTTGGAGAAGATAAAATAAATAAAATATTTTTTGGTGCACATGCTGCAATTTTAGTCTCACTAAGTTTTGGAGAAGATAAAATTAATAAAATATTTTTTAGTGCGCATGCTGCAATATTCTCCTCACATTTTTTGTTCTAATTCTGTGTACCTAGCATTTTTATAAAAACAACATAATAATATTAGAAACGAACAAAACACAATAAAAATGGAAGAAAAAAACAAATCCTTCTCTCTACTATAACTCACATTCCTGTCCACATATACATATATATATATATATATATTTAATAGCACTGCTCTTTAATTCTGTTCCTCTTCTGCTTCTCTTTGTGGGTACAAGTCCCATAAAGATGAACCCTGCAATCCCTAGTTTGTAACTCTCCATTGTCGAACTCAAGACTAAAGCACAAATATATACATACATTATATACACATAATATACATCGAGATAAAAAGACAAATGGGAAGAGAGAGAGGGAAATTTTTAGCAGTTCTGGGTAAATCTTAATGTTGGTGGGATGTTAAATCATGCATCGTTTGTTACATCTCTCTTTAGCCCAAATCATCAATAGATTATCCTCATAACAAACATTTAAGAGAAGTGCAAAAGTTTAAAATGAGAATGCAAACTATGATTCAGCAATGTTCTTCTATTTAAAAAAGAAACTTCCCTCTCGCTAGCTAGCTAGCTAGGTACACACAATTTGTGTCTTTGCATTTTCTCACTTTCAGGAGTTATTATAACTAAAAATAGTACAAGAGCAGAGCATCCAAAGGTTTGTAAATAGTGAAACCTAGGACAAAAATTCCCAACTCAACCATTTGGCCATGGGATGATCATTCATGATTCAACAATTATGAACAAATGTATCACGTGAAGAAAAGAATCGCACCTTAAAACTATTACCATGAACCATCATCATTGTCCATTATTCTAGCTCTTCCATTTCCATCTCCAGAATCTTAAGAAAATCGCTACCTGAACCATCCAATCTAAGCACTAAAACAATCTGCCCCTTCCTTGCCACTAACCTCATTTACGTATCAACAACAATTTCATTGGGTATGGGGACTACTACCATCAGTTTTGCGTTACTTTGCCTTTTGGTCAAGGACTGTCAAATTTTATTTTGCAAGATTTAAGTCTCAAATGCAAATCCATTGATAGCGTAGATGCTTCAAACAAAATTTGAGTTGTTGAGTCATCTTCACTGAGATTACAAGTCACTTTCCATTGGTCTTTCAGAATCTGTTCTAATCTTTTCGGGTGTAGTTTCACTCTCACGGAGCTCCTCCTTGTAGCTCGAGGTTTTCCCTGCCAATTGTTGGTCATCCCCACTAATATAGCTAATGCCCTTATTAGAAATAACAAAAGCACCAGAATCTCCATTGCAGTGATTAAAATCACCAGATCCACTAAGCACCATAACGCCCTTGTCCAAGTGATTCCCAACTCGTTCCTCAAAAGTAGGAGACGAAGAATTACTGCACTTAGAATGAGACTTTCCCACATCTTTTGTCCTCACACCATTTTGATTAAGAAAACCAGGTTTTGCAAATCCACTAATACGCCTTTATTAGGATTGTAAGAAGATGCACATTCAACTAGTTCTGAAGGAGCTTTTGCTTTCCCATCTCTCTTTGGAGAATTGTTGCCAGAATGCTTTCTGAGAAAACCTGGAGGAAACAGAGGCTTCAACTTTCCTTCAGAAGAATTTCTTCTAGCCAACTTCCCTGTGGCATCCTTAGTACTGCTAGATGATGGCAAGCCCTTTCCAGTCTCCATTTTTGCCTGCTCACCGTTGCAATCAACAGGACTAATCTCATCAAGAAGTTCACCTGAGCTTAAATTACCAACAGGAGCATCATGAGAAATTTTTCCCTCCTCACAGACACCATTCTGTATTGGCTGAGCGCTTTCACTTGAAGATTCAGTCAACCTTTTGGCACTACTTCTCTCAGCTGTATTCTCATCAACAACAGAATGAGGAAAGTCTGATTCAGAATTCTGAGAATAAGCTTCAGGCTTAACCATCTCACTTAGAGAAGAACCAACCGCAAAGACTAATCTATTAGCATGTACAACAGGAGAAGCGGTTTCTTCAATCGCATGAGAATATCCATTGCCATGTACTTCAATATCCTGTGGAACAGATGAACTTGACTCAAAATCTACCATTTCAATGTCCTCTCTCACATCTTCAGAATTAGTTCTCTCCTTTTCGCAAGTAAAAACTTTTTCTTGTGAGTCGCTATCAAATGACAAGGAACCAGAAGTACATATGCCATTAATTGACTCAGCTGTAGTGAGGAATTCAACTGATTGTTTGACATGGGGCTCCCCTTCTTGAATTATTTGCTGCTTCCCCTTAGTTAAAGATTCAATTGGCTTCAGACATGATGGTCAAGCACAAACCTTGAAAGCAACAGCAAACAAGATGATTTATATATACATATTATTAGGTATTCAACAAAATTGATATTGCCCAAGATTAGTCTATATGCATAATTTTTGTGAGAGGCCTCATGCTTTTGTGGGCTTAAAAATATGTTGTAACAATTTTCAATATCTTGGGGTCATTGCAATAACTTTTAGCTGGAGTGGAGGGTCCAGTGGTTGATCTCCTCCAGGCTCTAGCAGGAATTCATGGGCAGCCTTTGCAGTCCATTATCATAACTAGAATCCAATTACAGAAACAACCCCAATTTAATCGGCATATTAGCCCCTTAAGAGTGTGCTTAGTGTGCAAGTGTTAAATATAGGGTTTTGTTGTCAGAGTTTTCAAATAGATGCTATGAAGTGCCGAATCATTGAATGAATTTCACATATGATTCTCCCTAACCAGAAAAATCAACCAAGTCTTTTTAAGGCAACAAGCTTTGTAGTACTAATAACAGTCTATTTGTATGGGATGATTTGGAGAGAAAAGAAAAGATAATCCCTTATAACCTACTCTTTGAATCTCTCCAAAAGTGGAGAGATTTGAAGAAGCCTCAAAAGTCAAGCTACAGGAAATGATCGCACATATAAATGGATAAAATAAAAAATGAGTATCGTGTTGTTTTCAAGAAGCCTTATTTATAATATTGCCTATAATTTAAATCAAAATTTGGCAAGTTTTGCTGTCACTAAAAAAAGGTTGAATATGCAATGAATGTAATCTTTTTAAATGATATGTTTAAGATAATGATCAAGAAAAAAAAATCATATAGTAATACTAGGATGAAGGTCATATTAAATAGCATGTGAAGGGGTTTTAAGATATAAGAAAGTAGTTTACTTAACAGGAGAAAAAAGAAAGATATAAGAAAGTAATGACTAAATAAGAAAGTATTTTAACTTGTATTAGGATTAACACAATTTCATTAATGAATGAGAGAAGCCATAAGGCGCAAAAGAGAAAGCAATGAGCTGTCTTTCACCATTGGTGATAGGTCTGCTCCTCATCTACTTCTTCCTCATCAAGGAGATGTAGGATTAGAGGTTGTTACAACTTAGTCTTTTCATCAAAAGAGGGCTTGGCCATATGTTTCAAATCACATTTTAAGACATTATTCCACGTCAATCATGAACATGTGTATCCACTGAATTTTAGGTGATAGGCCATCCTTGAGTAACAAAATGTATGACAATTACTCTTATATTGAAATTGACAAGTCACTAATAGCAGGGAAAGTAAGAAGATCAGCTACCTGCTATACAACAGCATATAAGCCCCCTGCGAGAGCACCTCTTCCAAATCAACCCTCATGACCTGAAAAAAAAATTATGAATCAAGTTAGATGAAACTACAAATTCAAGTAGACTAACAAAAACAATACACGTTTCAACAAGACCACATAAATATTGCATTTTCTACTGATGTTTGTCTTAACCAGAATCAATTATGTCCCGTATTTTTGCATAATGAACAGAGATTTACAAACTAAATGCGCACTGACAATGAACCAGCAGTAAAATTCAAAGAGTATGATACAGACGACAGAGGAAGCTTCCATGGAGGACATTCTCAAAATGCAATGGGATTTTTTTCGAAGAAGTGAGATCACCAAGTCTTACACTCGGTGTTATCAGATAGATGCCTTGGCGAATGGATGTCAACACACACACACACGCACACACACACACACACATATGTATAGAGAGTTTAACATGGTGTAACTGGACAGAAATATATTCACATATGGGACACATGCTTATCTGTACATGTGGTACTCGTTCATTTTTCCCACTTTTTTTTTTTCTTTTTGGGTCCCTGGGTACACACACACACACACACACACACAGAGAGAGATAGCTATTTCTAACTTGCAGTCATCAATCCTGTACCATTTTCCACAAAAATCCTTTGTATAACAAATGTAATGGCCGAAAAAAGATGCATTTAGCACGTCAACATGGACAACCACGGCATATAGCTTGTAAACATCGTTACCATCTCCTACTTCACTCATGTAAGGGCTAAGATCTAAAGTCAGGGAAAGTCACCCTCTTGTTAAGTTTCCCAAACCTCTCGCTCTACAACAAATATGTGCATAAATTAGAACTTATCAGAGAGAATAATAAAAATTTCAAACTTCTTCAAGCATTTAATTCACAAAACCAAAACTAAAATTATGCCATGGTCTAATCACCAATTCAAGATGTTGTTCAAAATTTAATCAGATGGCAAATTAATGACTACTATGCTATGCTATTTCCACAGCCTAAGTATTGGTTGCTTCCACAGGAACCTCACTAGGTGGGCCCAACGTGTGAGTTGGTGCAGTGCCACCAAAAAGGTGTGGAAATAGTGGTTCTCCCTTGAAAATTGTTGAAGATATACCCCAAGGAGGGAGGAGGAAAAGAGGAAAGACTACTAATATATATATATATACAAAGTGAAGGAAAGAAAAACTTATCACAAACCTGAAACCTCTTTAAAGCAATTGTAAGAATGTTTGGGGCCCTTCGAACAGTAAGACGCTTCCATGCCATGACATACTCATTGCATCTGCAAAGAGATTGGCATATTATGATCTTAATACCATTGATTCAGTGGTGTTTACAGCAGAACATTTGCGGCAATATGTTTACAAGTAATCATTTATATTAATAATTATTACTACATTAGTGGAAAAATCAAACCCCCACAATGGGATATCATTGAATTGGTCCTTCTTCACTAGGCAAAAGAGTTGGCATCAGTAAAGGTTCAAATTCAAAGACAAATAGAACTATTGTGTCCTGATGTACCATATATAAAAAATAAAATAAAATAAAAAAATAAAAGGCCACGCTAACGAGAGCCCTATGAGCTGTCATTAAGGTGGAGATCATGCCGAAATAGTTATGGGTCCCAATATATTTTTCACATATCCCCGCTAGAGTAAATATAACATACCAGTGGTAGCCTACCAAAAAAAAAAACATAACAAGGCAATGTATCTCTATGTTTGACATGAAAACAACAACAACCCTTACCCATCACATTTAAACATATTATCTCCGTGAAGCCGCTCTCTGACAGTGAATAGGTCCAAGCATTCCTCTAAAGATGTGGCATCCCCTTGAATTTCAACAGTTAGATCCATCATATTTTCATACTGATTTGAAACATTATTGCATTTTGAACAAATCACCTGGGAAATAAGAGAGAGAAAAAAAAA